TTGGAGGCGAGCTAGCCGTGCCAGTCGTGCTCCATGAGCTGTTGGAGGAAGGCGGGGGAGTGCCCTGGGAGCGGGTACTCAAGACCTGAGGCAGTCACTCAGGCAAACGGCCCCTGTAACTTCCAACCAATACGCTTCAGCGCCAGCACCGCCGCACTGAGGGGGCCCCTGGAAGAGCCCCGCGATTTAGAAACCCCCGGGGGGGATGTTTTCAGCCCAAGCCCGCAGCTGCTGGAGACTAGCCACGGCCAAGCGCGGACGGGCGTTCGCATCCCAAACTAAACGATGCCACATAAGGGCGGGACCGAGGGCCGCTTTCCACAAGGGGTCCTGGAGGATGAGCAACGCCAAGCTGCGGCTGCCGGTCGAGCATCTCGTGCCAGCGGCAGCCAGAAACTGCGACCTAGCAGATTCAAGTTGAGCGCCGTTGATGCCAGTGACCTCAACTCCGAAAGTGGTGGCCGCTTCCAGGCCAGTCTTATACAGTTTGTGAGTGTTGCCCCCCCAGCACGTTTTAGCATGCGGACCCTGTTACGTCTTTTACGCATCTTGCCAAGACGCTCCGTAAGTTTTCGAAACGTTCTCCATCTTATCTGGGGGCGGCCTGCCCCAGTTTCAACACCCAGGTTGGATCCCGAACGATCAGGGTTCGGACCTGCCAGAGGTCCCAGCTTAGACCTGAGCTGGTCCTGCAACGCTTGGTGAGACGCTAGCACCTGGGTCTTCTTGCTGGCAATCTGGCACTTAAGCTCGTGGATGATGCAATCCGCCATCGATCTGGCGGCTATGTTCAACCGGCTAACGGTGAGGCTGAAACTGCGGCCGTGGCACTATAGTAGCATATCATCAATGAACATAGCGAGTCTAATGTGGCGATGGGCCTGTGTCCATATGTCCAAGGGGCGAGCACATACATCTGCACAAGGTACGTGGCCCAACTGCAGCCAGCAGCAATGCCCCTCCAAGGTTTGCCGACGCTGACCGCACAATCTTGCAAAGAAACGATACGTTCGCTGGCATACTACGATAGAATGATGCGAAGTAAACAACATGGAAAACCTGACTCCACAGCACGAAGCGCTAGACAAGGCCGATCAACATGTTCGTAAAAGTTAGATAGATCGTAAAGGACCTGGGCGCTGTATTGTTGATCTTGGGCTGAGCTGTTGAACTCGCGTTCCAAGGATTGTTTGTAGACCAATTCAACAATAGAGTGGCCAGCCTGGTGAGCTAGATAAGGCCGACGACGGTGGGCTTCCCACTCTCTGGCTGCCGACCTCCTAAGGCGGGCCCAGACTCGATAGTGCGCTGGTAGAATGCCAATAGACCTGAACGAGGGCTGAAAGGCTGGAGTATCATGTTGTTTCTGTTTAAGCATAAGCGTTGATACAATCCCCTGGAGCTGAGTCGGCATGTGACCAACCTTCTCGATCAGAGCGATAAATTGGCAGATGATCTCCGCCTGCTCATCATTCAACATACTGAAGTGCCGCGGATGAAAACCGCCCCAGGTCGAAGCTGTGGTGCGAGGAAAGCTACGCGCAACTTGCCGAAGTCTCTTGGGGGTAATCGGACCCAGGGCGACAGGTCATCGGTATCAGGAACGAGTTGAGGTGGGGTCTCGAGGGGAACTTGCCAAATCTTAGCTAGACGATCATCTTCGACCTGCAATATATGCTGGGGCCTGCCTGAGCATTGAGACTGGCATTGCACAGACGTCGGGCGCCAGGCCTCCAGCCGTGCAGTCCATCTGTGAGCCCATCCCATTCCCCCCTTTCATGTTAGACTGAACCCATTCCCTCCAAGCCCTCCCATCTGCGGCATTATCCGCCGCCTGCTCCTGGTGCAGGAGCTCGGTGATCTGCTCTAGCAGCCCGTCTAGAACTTGCAGCGCCAACGTCTGATCTAGAACGCCAGCCTGGAAATCAATAAGCAGCAAAACTGCGGCTACTCGAATATCCTGAAGCCCCTCCTTGAGGGGCACCGCGGTGGAGAACAACTCGGGGCAATCCTCCAGGCCGCCCAGGACTTCTTGAAACCCAAGCACATCCCAAACCTGAATCCAGCGTCTGAATTCCTGAACTCGGTTACACAACCATCTTAACGGGATCTGGCTCTGCCCCGAGCCGCTTTGGCCTCCGCGGGGGCCTTGAAATCCTGGGCCAGGGTGGGCCAGGTACGCGCGGCCCAGGATCGCAGTCGACTGCTGGTCGGAGAGAGGCCGTTGAGCATCATCGATCAATTGCGAGGCATAATCCATGATCGCGGCAGTCTGGTGCCAACTCACTTCTGGCATTTGCGGGCCCACTGGGATGTGGGTGGGCAGCTTCTGGGGCCTATGCAGCGAGGGGATATTAAAGTTATCCTGGGCAACAATATCCAACCGCACGGGCCTATGAGGGGAGAGAGGGTAGGAGGCCAGGGCGCGGGGGTTCTGGAGCCACGGCGCGAGGCCTTGGCTGGAGACAAAATGGTCGAGAGTCGGCTTGGCCTTCTCGGTTCTGTAGGTGGCTGTCGGGGGCGCAAGCGCGGCCAAAGTGGACCTGGACAGAAACTCGGCCTGGGACAACCTGGTGGCGGCCAAAATTGAAATCCCCCGCTACAAAAACTGGATGCGCTAAGTCATCTTGAAGTTGGCCTATGGTGGCCAATAGGTTTAAATTGGTCTCCGAGAGACCTGCAGCAGCTTGAAAATACGTAGAACACAAAGCGGATTGTGGGATCCCGGGGGGCTCCAGGATCACCCCAGGCAAACGAGCGGGCTCACACCGAGGGAATCAGCAGAGATGGGACCCCCAGGTCCAAACCATCCCGAATCAAAATCGCGACTCCCGAAATCAGCTCATTGTTGGGGTTCACTGCAGCAGGAGTTATGTAGGCCAGCCACCCTTGAGACAAGCACCATTGTATCTGGCGCACAATGCTATCGCCTTCGGCTAACTTACACTCCTGGGCACAAACGATGGTGACTGACTGCGCTGGCCTGCGGTGATTGCAAAAACTTGCGAACGGCAGGCAAGCGCGATCCGTTGATGGTGGCTAGCTTATAATTCTGGATACACCGGCGACGGGCCCTCACTTGCAACCGCGGCGGCCGCTGCAACCGCCCTGGCCTTCTTGGTCTCGGGGCCGCCGTCGCCCTGGATCTTGGCCATGCCGTTGGCGACCTGCTCCAGGGCCGCAGCAGCACGCACACGGCCCTGCGACTCGTCCATCGGGGTCGCTTCGGCGGCGTCGGCGAGCGGGGCCTCCTCCAGCTCCTTGTCGTCCACTGGCGTCGGAACATGCTGGCCTGGAATGGGCTGGGGCGCATCTGGCTCATCAGCTCGTTCGCCAACTGCGGGGAAGCCGTCAGGCTCCTGCGCTGGCTGAAACCCTTTGCCCTTGCCATCGCCCTTCGCCTGGGTCTCCACATACATGGTGTGCTGGTGCTGCATGTTGTCGAACAGCTGCGCCAGCTCCGATGCTTTAGCTCGTAGTTCTGGTGCCCCCCCCCACCCTCGGGCATGCGAGCTGCCAGCATGCCTTGGAGAGTGGTGAGCAAATCCTCATCCTTGGTTGCCTCGTACGCTGCTACCCAGGGACTGCACTTCTTTGGTGTTGATCTCAATCTCCTCGACCAGCTTGCCGTGGTGTTCGCTGGCCTCGACGATGGTGTGCACTAGCTCCGTCGCTTCTTTCTTCTGGGCCGTGAGCTTCTGGCGCGCGACCTGCATCTGATCTGACAGCGACTGGGCCTGCTGCTCCAAGCTCTTGGCGGACAGGGCCTGCGCCTTGGCAAACTTGAGCTTGCCCAGCGCCGACTTGTGCTCCTCTCCGTCTGGTTTCCACTTCTTCCAGAACGTGACCTGTGCTTGGGCCAGGGCAGGGCCACGGGATCTTCACTGCAGGTGTCATCATCCGCGAAGGTGACATTTCGACCTCCTCCGCGGCCCAGACCAAGGGGAAGCTCGGGCCCGCGGGAGCCGTGTCTCCAGCGGCCTGGCTTTGACGGTGGCTCTTGGTCGTCAGGCCGATCCTCCTGAGCTGCTCCGCCTCCCCCTGCTGGCCGATCTGCGTACGAAGCTGACGCCGAGCGCTGCTTGAATCGATTGCCACACTGGATGCAATGGCGGCATTAGCAGAACACCAAGCCACCCTTTACAGCCACGCTTCGAGCAGACGACATACTTCCTCTGGGCCGCCGCCATCTCCTGTCTCCCCTGCGCCGCAGCACACACAGGAAATGGGCCCAGCAGGTGGCACTAGTGCGGGACGTGGTTGTGCCGCTGCCTGGGGCTGACCAGGCTGGCACTGGGCAAAAGCGAAGGCTTGAGCCCGAACACCCAGGGCCTTCCCTGTATGGCAATGCTGGGTCCTGCACCTCCCGCGGTGTGCTCAGGACTTGAGCCAAGGAGGAGGGGAGGAGGAGGAGGAGAAGGAGGAGGAGGAGGAGGACGAGGCATCGGCCGCCTCGACGACGGATCCGCGGGAGCGCTGATCCTCCATCTGCCCGCTGTGTGCCAGCAGGAGGCCGGGGGAAGCGATAGGAGGAAGGACAGCGAGTGCTACGACGAAAAACATGCTTGGCGGGCGCGGCGCACAGTTCGAAGCGTGCGGAAACGCAGACATATGCGGGCAACATTTATATCCATATCCAGAGCGTCGTGGATTTTTTGGGAAGAGGTGCCGCAACGCCGAGGCGCACTGGATATGGATAGAATCAAGCCTCTTGGGGCCAGATTGTTATCCATATCCAGCGCGTCTACGGTTTCTGGGGAAGAGAGCCCAAGAATCCAAGATGCACTGGATGTGGATATAACTATTGCCCGCAACATAAAGACACCTCACGCCAGTGACACTGGCTAGAACGATTACGATCGGCCGCGACGGCCCATACGCCGTGCGTTGGGTTCCCGTCCGCCGTCGAGGCGCTTGTTGAATCTCATCAAATTCGCATATTCAACAAGTACCGCTATGTTGATAAAGTGGAGCCAGCGGGCAAACACCGGACGTCACTGTCAGCACGTCCCTTTGCACCAGTCCTCGGGAGTCCTCCCCTGCAGCCACCTGCACGTCCACACAGACCTCCTCTGGGCCGACGGCCCCGTGGTCTCGCCCAGCGAGAAGCGCAGCTCCGGGTCTAAATGCGCGAGGCCCTTGATGAGTTCCACGAAACCGACCGACAGGGCATCAGCCAGCTGCCCGGGGCCGCCCTTCCGCAGCTTGCGCTTCTGCAAAAATTTCTGGAGCCCGTTATTGGAGACGTAATCGAACATCTGGCAGGCGTTGGGCTTCGTTGATGTCCACGGGTAGTCCTGCACGGCCATGGCGAAGAGCGTGACGCCCAGAGCGAAGGAGTCCGTCAGGAAGGTGTCGTACTCCTGGCCCCGGTGCACCTCGGGCGCCTGGTAGGACGGCTTGCCACGCACCTCCATGGAGACGGTGCGCTCGAGCGTCACCATGCCGAAGTCAATGATGTTGAGTCTCAGCTTGGGCTCTCCGTCCTTTTCGTCTCCCTCCTTGTTCAGGAGGACGTTCTCGAGCGAGAGGTCCCTGTGCGCTATACCGACATCGTGTAGCCACTTGACGGCCGAGAAAAGCTGCACCACGATGGGCAGAAGCATCTGCTCCCGCTTCGGCCCGGGCAGCGGCTTCCTATCGCACCAAGAGAAGAGGTCGCCCTCCGTCGCCAGGGAGGTGATGACGTACGTGAGTTCGCTGTCGCGGAACACGCCGAACAGCTCGCACACGAACGGGCATCTCCTCCTGTTCAAGATTTTCACGATGGCCATGTCGGCCCAAGGCTTCTCGGAGGCTGTCGCGTATGTCTCATTGAACTCCTTAGGCCCCTCGCGCACCCACCGGTTCGGCATGCGCTTCACCGCGACCATCTTCCCCTCCCGGAGGTCGGTCATCAGATCCACGCGGCCGTGGTTCCGCACCGCCTCCTGCAGGGTCCTCGCCAGCTCGAAGCTGTGCTGGTCCCACGGCTGCACACCTCGTGCCACCTCCTCCATGCCCTCCACGAGCGCGCTCCAGCTCACGGGCTCTGGGCGGGCCCTGGCCGCGTGCTCCGCAGAGGCCGTCGCTGGGATGCCCGGCTGCCTTGGCGACTTGGCGGCCCCAGCCCCCATCGCAACGACTGGGGCTGGGGCCGGCGCGGCTGGGGCATGCCAAAGGCAGCTCGCTCGCAGGGCGTGCCAGGGGCGCGGCAGGGGGCCAGAACGGCTAAGGACGAAGGCGAGGCCGCGAATGCCCCATACAGCTGAAGAGATAGCCGAGAGAGAGAGAGAGGGAGAAAGAGAAAGAGTCAGAGGGAGAGAGAGAGAAGAATAGAGAGAGAGAGAGAAGGAGAGAGACGAGCGCGGCGGACAAGCCAGCGCGGTGCACCGACAGTGAGCACAGAGCCACCCACAGCGCGAAAACGAGGGGCGCAATTGGGGGGGCTCTTGGCGCATCCAGGACCACGGTGGGAGACTAGGCCGATTTGCATGAGCCCACGATCCTCCTTGAGCGCTGCGGAGAGCCACTTGCGAATGTCCTCGACATGGTGCGTGCCGCCCGCAATACCTTCGGCAACGGCCTTGGCTTCTGATCAGTGGAATCGCCGACCATGGCCTCCGGACAAACGATCTGGCCACAGTTCCATCATCTCCCAATCGCGCTGGAGGAGGAGGAGGAGGAGGAGGAGGAGGAGGAGGAGGTGGAAGGTGGGATAGGGCAACGAGATCTGCACAAGTCCACCGCCCCTGGCCAGGCCTTGCCTGGGCCCAAGAGCGATGCGTACGCATCGTGGACACAGGGGGGGCGGAGGTGTACATACCGAGCGACAAACAGATAGCACATGCAAAAGTCCTCCATTGCGTGTGCCATCTGCCTGGCCCGCGGGCATGGCAAAAACAACCCCGTTCGGTGTGCTATCTGTCTGGCCTCCTTCAACGCGTCTTAGAATGTGTGCCCCCCGTCGGGCGGTTGGCCAGTGACACCAAGTCTAACCAACATCGCGCAGTTGGCCAGTGATCGCGGTCAGGCAATGCCGACCGCGCTTCCTGGACCCTATCCGACCGCGCTGTCGGCCCGAAGCCAGCGCCGCACAGCAAGTGCCCCACGCTACCTCAAGGTCGGCCCTTCCTGGATTCGCCTGAGTGCGCCCTGCCCCGGGCCTTGAGCTGTATGCAGCCGCGTACGGACAACGGCGCCCTGATGTTTCTGATATGGGGTCTCTGGAAGTCTCGACCCTTTCCCCAGGGCCGAAATTTCATCCCGAGTCGTTGTGTGACGATCCTGGGGCACGGGGGGGGGCCCTGGAGGCAGAAACTGGCAAAACGCCATCCGTCATGATTTGTGTTACGACGCGGGCATGACTCGTGTTAGATTCGCATATTTTGTAACAACTCATGGGGGCCTCCCATACCATCTTGTCGGCCCCTGCTAATCGGCGCTACATCGACGCCAAATCTATACTTTTCGTAGCAAACCGACGCTAAATCGGCGCTGTCTCATCGACTCCCAGACGCTAATCGACGCGAGTCGACGCTAAAGACGGGATTGGGAGGGCATACCATGCTCCCAAGATTTGCTACCGAACTGGGAAAGCTTTTTCCTATGGCCCCCGACCCCCCCTTCTGGCCATGGAGGGCAGATCAGGGCCTTCGGATTGGATTGGGGGTTTCATTCTGTGGGCGGTTACAAGCAATGTCCGCGTTGGGGCTCCTTTTTCGGCGGCCGGTGCTGCCTCGCTCAGCGGCGGGAACCCACGGTTCCCAATGGAAACGGGACCCGCCGCCAAGCCACGCCCCCTTGATCCAAATCTGCGATCGCCTGAGTTAGGCGGCATCCTCCGGCCCACGTCCATCCGTGATGGGCCGCCGAGGTTGAGCAGGGACCGACCTTCCCGGCATTCCTATAGTCCTACCGCGAAATGTTCTCAGAACCCAAAAATGCTCCAAGAACAAAAACAATGTTCTTAGAACATAAACCCGATGTGTTCAAGCAAGACAGACTCCGCCAGAAATACTCTAAGAACATTTCGTGGAAACCACCGCAGGTTCTCAGAGCATTGCTTGGTAGGGCCATAAGCGAGCCAGGACGCTTCGCCACTGCTTGACGAGGGGCCCGCGCCGCCGAGGGCCGCAGCAGGCAGGGCCTGCCTGCGAGGGGCCGCCCGCGAGGGGCCGCCGAGGAGGGCCGCCGAGGCCGCGGCACGCGCCGCCGCAGCCTGCCATCGGGAGCGGCCAAAGAGGGGGGCTTCCAAGAGGGGGGGGCGCAAATCATGGCCGGCGGCATGTGCGCGGCCCAGCGGGGGGGCCAGGGACGTAATGAAACAAGAAGAGGCGCCATGCGATCTGGAGAAAGGTCATGGCCCCCGCCATGATCTCCACCCCCCCTGGTCATCACCCCCCTCTCTTCCGCCCCCGATGCCAGAGGGCCGCCGACGGGCTGCCGGGGCAGAAGCACTCGTTCTAGCCTCAGGTCGGGCCTGTCCCTCTGCAGGGGGAATTTTCAAAAATACGTGCAAAAGACAAGTCTGGGGACGATGTCTATCATTTATCATGTATATACATATATATATATATATGTATATATATATACATATATATGAAAATATAAGTCGGACCTGTCTCGGAAGCCGGGCACGGGCTGCTAAATCCGTGGCTGTTACATACAATCGACCTCCGGGAAGTTGTCTTCGTCCTTCTGGGAAGAAGCCCGTTGACTGAGTCGCGTGCCGCGCCTCATTTCCGGGAAGTTTTTTTTTCCTTCCGGGAGGGCCGTTTTAGCAGCCACGGATTTAGCAGTCCTCGCCCAGCTTCTGACTGTCCCTCCACAGAGGGAATATTCAAACATACTTGCAAAAAACAGTCTGGTGACGATGTTTAGCATTTCTGTTCAGTTAAATCTCTGTGTGAACACACACATATATATATATATACATATACATGTCTATGTATATTATATATATAAATCTATATATACACATACACCTGTGTTTCTTTCATTGTTTTCAATGAAAATGCGCCTGTAAAGGGAAACATTCGCTTTGGCTTTAGGTCGGTCCTGTCTCGGAAGCCGGGCTGCTAAATCGGTGGCTGCTAAAATCGACCTCCAGGAAATGGTCTTCGTCCTTCCGGAGAGAAGCCCGTTGACTGCTTCGCGTGCCGCGCCTCTTTCCGGGAAGTTGTTTTTTCCTTCCGGGAGGGCCGTTTTAGCAGCCACGGATTTAGCAGTCCTCGCCCAGCTTCTGACTGTCCCTCCACAGGGGGAATATTCAAAGACACTTGCAAAGAACAAGTCTGGGGACGATGTTTAGCATGTTTGTTCATTTATCTCTTTATATGTGTATACATATACACACATACATACGTGTGTTTCTTTCTTGGTTGTTCAACCAACAATGCGCCTGTAGGGGGACATGCCCGACCTAACTTTCGATACAGCATTCGACTATGTCTGCAAATATCTCGCCGCGAACGCGGGCATAGCATCTGTTGTTTTCCTCGCCTGTCCTCCTCCCCCCTCCCTCGCCAGCGCGAGCATGTCGATTCAGTCTTTATGCGCAGTGTCTAGGCGCAGAGACGTCCCCAGACCCAGGCAAAGGCCCCCGGGGTGCAATGAGCTCCTCGTGGTGTCCTGGCAGGACCTGCATATTACCCTTTCACGCGCCTGGTCGGGCCAGCGGCAGTGCGAAAGAAAGAAAGAACGAGCCGCCGAGGGCCAGGAGAGCCCAGAATCGAATAATTAAGTAGATAAGGCGGGCCGGCGATCCAAATGAACAGGATCGGCGGACATCGGCAGCCGAGCCGAAATCGGCAGCCTGGCAGGGCCTCCCTCGAGGCGCCGAACTCCAAACCGGAATCCCTTGCCGAATCGAACCGCAACGGAACTCGATCGACATCGTATCGAATCGAGCCAGAGCGCTCTCGGGAGGAATTTAAGGGGGGGATAACAAAATATAAGGTAGAGAATCAGCTCACGTAGCTGATTTTCCCAGCGCCTCCGGCGCCGGGAGGCGCCCATGTATCGAGGAATGGGCCCGGCGGCGGGGCCGAAACCAGCTGCATGCAGCAGATTTCGTAACCCCCCCTTTCCCTATCCCCCCCTTTCTTTGGCCCGAACCTCCCTGTCGCTCTCATGACCCGAAGAGTGGGTGTCTTGGGCTTGGATGCTCTTAAAAACCGCTTCAGTTCTAAGCGCCGGTCTTTGAGTTTGTTCTTATATTTAGGGTAACAACTGTTACCCGGGGGGGGGGGCGGCGGGGGTAACGGCGGCCGCGGCGTGCGCCCGCCAGGGTGCGTCCGCGCCATCGGCACATCAATTGCCTTACCTGCTGAGAGGAGGGGGGGTCCACCCTCCACCCAAACCAAAAACGTACGACCGTCAGCGTTACCCGGAAGGGGTGGGGGGGGGGGGCCCGGGTGACAAGCGTTACCCGCCAAAGGGGGAAACAGAAAAACGCTCTCCTTACTTTTCCCTATCCCCCCTTCGTTTCGGCGGTGGACAAACCTCCCTGTGGTAAACCTCCCCTTCGTGAAAACGGCCTGGGACCGAAACCGACGGACCTGGACCCGCAAAAATGACGCAAGAATGACGGCTGCGACGCTCTCTCGCGAACCGAACACGGCCAATTCGCGAATCGACGTGTCAGGTAGGAGGTCGATCCCCCCCCGATCGTTCGGCCCGACGCTCGACGTGCGCCCCCGGAGGCCACCGCCGAGGGGCCGCCGAGGCCGCGGCCTCCGGCCACCCCGCGTGCTCCGCCAGCAGCCCGCCGGTGCCCTCCGCCCCGGCAGGCCCGCGGGCGGCGCCGCGCAGCGCCTCCGGCGCCGCGCCGCGCCTGCGGTCCGACGGGGGGCCGGCGCTCCTCTCGGGCACAGGCAGACGGCGCCCTCCTCTTCCCCCTCCTCCTCCTGCTCCGCCTCCTCCTCCTCCACCTCCTCCCCCTCCTCCGCCAACTTCTTCTCCTCCTCCGCGTCCGCCTCCTCCTCCTCCGCCTCGCCCTCCTCCTCCTTCTCCGCCTCATCTTCCGCCTCCTCCTCCTCCGCCTCGTCCTCCTCCTGTTCGTCCTCCTCCTCCGCCTCCTCCTCCTCCTCCGCCTCCTCCTCCTCCTCCTCCTCCTCCTTCTCCACCACCTCCTCCTCCTCCTCCGCTTCCTCCTCCTCCTCCTCCTCCTCCTCCTCCTCCTCCTCCTCCGCATCCTCTCTCCTCCTCCTCCGCATCCTCTCTCCCATCGCACCCCAAGAAGATGCCCGCATCCTCCTATGCCTGCGTGCTCCCTTTTCGATTCAGCTGCCAGCCCAGCCAGGCCTGGGCACGCAGCCCGGCAGCGTCGGCGCGGACAGCACCCGCGGCCTTGGAGAACAGAAGTGGTGCACCGTCTTCGACGCCCGGAGGCCCGCACGGACTCGCTCCTCGGATCGACGCGGGACCCAACGGCTCGACCTGGACACTGTTTGCCGCTCCCGTGTTGTCCTCGTTTTGCGTCTTCCTGTCTTCGTCCCGCCTTTTTGCCGCAGCACGAGACCAAGACGAGGACGGCCCCCGAACTCGCCGTCAAAACGCCGTTCGGGTCGAGCCCTGCCGGATCCCCCCCCCACAGGGACAGGGGAAGACACCACCACCACCACCACCACGACCACCACTTGGAGTCTCGAGACGATGCGGTGACAGACCGTGCGGTGACCTCGAAATCCCCCGACCTCACAGCACGCACCAAACCTACTGCACCACCCCCCTTGTCGCTGGACCGCCTTGTTGGGTCCACCCGAGCAGCGGCCCCGGCGGTCCAGACCACCTGCCCCCGGGGGCCCGCGCGTCGCCCCGAGTCCGCTTCTGCTGGTCCCGGGGTCCGATGACAGGCACAGCGGGCCCCAGAGGCCTCCTCCTCCTCCTCCTCCTCCTCCTCCTCCTCCTGCTTCCCCCTCCTCCCCCTCCTCCCCCCTCCTCCTCCTCCTCCTCCTCCTCCTCCTCCTCCTCCTCCTCCTCCGCCTCCTCCTCCTCCTCCTCCTCCTCCTCCTCCTCCTCCTCCTCCTCCTCCTCCTCCTCCTCCTCCTCCTCCTCCTCCTCCTCTTGAAGAAAACGCCAGAGGAAAAAATCGTCGGAAATCGGGGCATCGGGGGGAAATCGGGAAACCGATGAAAAACGCCAAGTTTAGAAAAATCGTCAGACATCGGGGTGCGCACTTGCTTCTGGTACCGGGGGAAGCCAGAACTGCCGATGCGGCTGCTCCCCGGACCTCTCCCGGGTTGCCCTTCTGCCCAGGACCTAACAAATTTCGAGACGACTCCACCGATGGCGACAAGGGCCTTCCAAGAGGCCAAACAAGACGGAAACGATGGAAGCGTAGCGGTACCGGGTCCATTTCCACACATGCTGATTTGCATCAAAAGGACCCCTAACCCTTTGAGAGGAGACCTAAGTTAGGAGGGCCAAAGACATAAGGGATAGGGAATGTATTCGGCAGATGCATCGAACCGAACCGCCCAGACCGATTACCCCTCATGCAAAGACGGGGACCTCAGTGAGTCCACGTCTTCACTATGTTATTGGGGTTCGGGGTTCTTGGATGCCGGCCTGATGACAAATGACGTTCTGCTGTTGTTCCATGGGGAGCCCGTGCCCGTCCCCAGCCCGTCCCCGGGGCCAGCTCGTCACCCCGGATCGATTTCTCTGAGGGCCCAGCGGGGCCCCGCGAGGGCCCCGCGGCCACACTCTGCAAACAACCATCCGTCCTGCTTGCTGCCACGACGCGAGCACGTCCGGGCTTCCTCCTCCGAGAGTAGAGGCGCCCTAGATGGGATCCGCGCAGATGGGGTCGAAGGGTCGCGCCGCCTCGCCGATGCATCGCCGATGCGTCGGCGATGCGTCGGCGACGCTGGTGGCGGTGTATCGGCGACGCCGGCGCGGAGAACATCGGGCTCCACAGCGAGCCGCATCGCCGATGCGTCGGCGATGCGGCGCGATCCTCCAACCCCATCTAGGAGGCCCAGAGAGGTTGGGGAGACTAAAAGGTACCAGTACCGCTACTCCCTGGACCTCTCCCTTGGGTGCGTTCTGGCCCGCACTTCGAGGCGACTCCGCCCGTGGCGACGAGGGCCGCCCAGGAGGCCCACAGAGGGCGAGCACGAGGGAAGCGCACAACGGTCGAAGGAAGGGCAGCGGTATGAGCACCTTTCCTGCTCCTCCGCTGCGAGTTGCTCCGTATTTGGAGGCCTCCTGGATGGGGTCCGAAAGAAGAGGTCCGAGGATCGCGCCGCATCGCCGATACATCTGCGATGCAGCGGCGATGCATCGGGGATGCAGCGGCGACGCATCGTCAACGTCGGCGATGCATCGGCGACGCTGGCGTGAAGCAAATCGGGCCCCACATCGAGCCGCATCGGCGACGCATCGGCGATGCGGCGCGATCTTCCGACCCCATCTACTCCGACCCCATTTAGGAGGCCTAGAGTACCGGCGGTGGACACACCTCCCTTTAGTAAACCACCCTTAGTGAAAACGTCCTCGGACCGAAACCGTCGGACCTGGACCCCCCAAAAAACGACGGCCGAGACACTCTATCGCGAACCGAAAGCGGCCCATTCGCTAATCGACGTGTCAGGGTAGGAGGTCTATCAACCTCCGAGAGCATTCTTCTGCCACGGCTCGCCCTTCGCAGTCTTCGGGGCGGGGCCGCCACAGCGGCTCCGGGCCGCCGCCGCCGCCGCCGCCGCCGCCGCCGCCCGCGCCGCGGGGCGGCGGCTCGGCGCCATCGCACGGCTCCTCGGCGACCGCTGCCTTGGGGCCGCCGTCCAGAGGAGGGGGCAGGAAGGGACTATCGTTTGATTCAGGCATTTCCTGCTACAGGCGACCCTTGGGAGAAAAATGGGGAATAGTCAAAGAGACTCAGACAGTAGCCAAAACATCATCACCAGACTACTGGTTGTGATTACTCTACGTCGTTCAGATATTCTTGTTTTTGCAATTTTGGGGCTACAGATTGGGCTTGTTGCCAATACGTTGGGAATGCCCCTCGGGGCTGTCGCCGCCCCGCAGCCGGCGCCGCCGCCCGGGAGGGCCCGTGGGCCGGCCGCGGCGGGGCCGGCGCAGAGGGGGGGAGAGGACGAGGGGCAGAGGCATCCTATAGATGAGGTCCGAGCAGGAGGAGGAGGAGGAGGAGGAGGAGAAGGAGGAGGACAACGACGACGAGGATGATTACCCTGGGGATTACCCTAAGAGGTACAGAGTGTACCGTGGACGACGAGGAGGAGGAGGAGGAGGAGAAGGAGGAGGAGGAGCTCCAGGAGGAGGAGGAGGACGAGGAGGTGGAGGAGGACGAGGGGGAGGGAGGCAAGCTAGGTGCGCTCGCGTCATATCTGACATCCTACCCCTCCCTCCCATCCCTTACCATGGCGCAGATCCCCTCTCTACTCGCACAGTCGGATGTCGAGCAGGGCAATGATCCCGAAAGGGTACGCGATGCCTTGTAGAGCACGGCATGGCATGGCGTAGAAGAGCACCGCGAAGCGAAGTATCAACCTAGCATTGCATTGCATGCCGTGGCATGGCACGGGGAATGACGCCAGCGCTGCAGCGGGAGCACGAGTCGAAACGAGCGGAAGCGCGGAAATGAGGCCAGCGCTGCAGCGGGAGCACGATTCGGAACGAGCTGAAGCGCGGAAATGAGGCCAGCGCTGCAGCGGGAACACGATTCGGAACGAGCGGAGGCCCGAAAATGAGGCCCGCGCCTCAGCGAGAGCAGCATTTTGAAAAAAATGCAAGCGAAAACCCAACTCCCGGGAATCCTGTGTGTAAAAAAGCAGTACGCGGGGGAGGGGCGAGCACTCCCAGCACGTCATCAGGGGAAGAGGGAGAGTAGTATTCATATTGAGTAATTGTGGAGGAGGAGGAGGAGTAGGAGGAGGTGGAGGAGGAGAAGAAGGCGTAGGAGGAAGAGGAGGGAGAGGAGGAGGAGAAGGCGGAGGCGGGGTCGAAGGATCGCGCCGCATGGCCGATGCAGCGCCAGTGCATCGGCGAGGCATCGATGGTGCATGGGCGACGCCAGCGTGGAGAAAATCGGGGGCCGGCATCGGGGGGAGGGGGAGAGGTGAGAGGCAACTTTTGGAAGGTCTTCGTCAGATCCTCGAGGATTCGGGGATCCAGCCTCGAGCCTCGAGGCTCCAGGTTCGAGCTTCGAGGATCGAGGATCGCGGCTCGATCCTCGACCTCGACTAGATATCCTCGTCGGCGCGGATCGTGAGGTGCCTGGCTTCTTCCCCCTCCAACCCCCCCAACCGGTTACGCCCGTTGTCGCCACGGGATGCTGTCTTCTACGGCAGTGATCGCTGTGACTTGCAACAGTTGCAGGGTTGCTGCAGCGCACTTGCAAGGCACCTTCAATTGAGTTGCGGGTCCGCCTGGCTGCTCCAAGTTGGGTCCCTGACTCACTCAGACTTGGAGCAGGTAAGCGGAATTGCAACCGCCTTGCAGGCGCCTTGCACGTGGGATGCAACCGCCGTGCAAAGGTTGCAGCTGTTGCAAGTCGAACCGACCACTACAGCAAGAGCCGTTAAGCCCGATTCCAACGCCAGTTAGCCATAGACGGCCGGATTGAGCATGGAATTAAGCTGGGCTGCAGCGAGATTAATTAAGATTGAGCGGGATGAAGCTGGATTCGGCAAGTGTTCGACCAGATACCAGCGGCAGTTCAGAATCTAACCCCCCAGGCGTTGCATCCTAAGAGAAGGGGGACGACAGTTGCCTTCTGGATGGGGTCCGAGTAGATGTGGTCGGAGGATCGCGCCGCGTCGCCGATACGTCGGGGACGTATCGGCGATGCACCGGCGATGCACCGGCGACGTCGGTGGTGCACCAACGACGTCGGCATGGGGAAACTCGGGCTCCACATCGAGCCGCATCGCCGATGCATGGGCGATGCGGCGCCATCCCCCGACCCTCCCTGCTCCGACCCATATCTAGGGTGCCTAGATTAAGCCGGACCCAGCGGGATGAACACGGGTTCGGCAAGTTTTCGACCAGGTACAAGCGGCAGGTCAGAATCTGACCTCCCAGGCGTTGCAACCTAGGAGCAGGGGGACGAGGAGGAGGGTTAAGTCGGGCATGTCCCACTACAGGAAGAAGACTCAACGATGGTCAAAAATGATATGGGGACGATGTTCCGATTAGTTTGTGTACTAGGTTTGAGCATGCCCGACCTGTAGGAGGACATGCCCGACCTAAGAGAACGGGGAGCTCGATGCTCCAGGCTCCAATGATCTATGGCAGGTCACCGTCGATCTCTGAGCTCTGTTCCACCGGCGGTTCTCTTCCTCGGCCTGGGAGTATGTCGGGCCTGTCCCTCTACAGGAGGACTATTCAAGAACAATCAAACAAATAATCTGGGGACAATTCAAAATCATTGCTTGATTATTTGGGCATGTCCTTCAGGTGCGTTGAAGTTGTCGTCCAAAATCCGCCCGTAGGGGGACGTGCCCGACCTAAGCCTGGGACTGTGCGGGGCCCGTGGCGGGGCCCGTGGCCGGGCCCCCATGGACCGTCCGAAGTGGGTCCGGGACGTATGATCAGCTGGCCCCCCGCGAGGGGGAGGAGGAGGAGGAGGAGGAGGAGGAGGAGGAGGAGGAGGAGGAGGAGGAGGCGGAGGAGGAGGAGGCGGAGGCGGAGGAGGAGGAGGAGGGGGAGGAGGAGGAGGAGAGGGGGAGGAGGAGGAGGAGGAGGAGGAGGAGGAGGAGGAGGAGGAGGAGGAGGAGGACCCCCACACGGAAGAAATCAAGGCACGTCGGAGGTCTCGAGGCTCCCAGACCCCCTCGCGCTGCGAAAAAAACATCGCGACGGGAGGCGTCTCGCTATCCTCGGCCTCCTGGGGCCCCTTCGCCCTTCGCGGGCCTCGGCTGGGTCTGGGGGGAAACGGGCCTCGGCCGGTCCGGGGGAAACGGGGTATTTGGAGATGGGGCCGCACACCGCAGCTGCAATAGTTCGCGGGGCTACTGCGCGCAGCTCTTGCGCGCAGCTGCTGCGAGCTATTGCGCCCGCGTGCTCAACGATTGCGTCATATTGCACGACCAGGCGCAACTGTTGCATCGTGGCAGGGCAACTATTGCGAGTTATTGCTTGCAAGAAGCGAGGACACAAACTATTGCATCACAGAGATAAGCGATTGGGTTCGCGCGAGCAAACTATTGCACCCCGACTCTTGCATGAGGGAGACACAGTACGATGGATGTGATCGTTTCCAACTATTGTATGAACTATTGCGCACGCGCTTCGCGGCCCCATTTCCAAACACCCCATGGGCCCAATCTGAATCGGGACCGTCAAAAAAACACCTGGGATGAAAAATCGGTCCCCAGGAAGGGACCCAGACTTCTGAAGGGCATGTCGTTGAAAAAACACGACGTCGGGGGTCTGGGTTCTCAGACTTGGAACCGAGGCCTGGGACGTTTTTGGGGGGCCTCTGGGAAGCTCCTCGTGGCCACTCTCCTACCTCCGCTCCGACGTGTTGGTCAGAACGCACACCAGGATGGGTCCGGGGTCGATGTTTTTTTGCCCCAAGCCTCGCCTGCACGCCGTGGAAGAAAGAAGCGTTCCACTGGAGCCTGGCTCGCTCCCGGCTGCAGAGTCCGAGGGGCCCAGGCAATGTCCAGAGAAGTGGGTCCGGCAGCGCCCGGGGCAGGGGCAGGGCAGGGGAGGAAGGAGAAGGGTTAGGTCGGGCACGTCCCCGTACAGGGAAATTTGGGATGTAAAATTAAAGCATGAAAGAAAAATCGTCCCCTGACTATGTTTGGACTATTTTTGGATACTCCTCCTGTAGAAGGACAGGCCCGGCGTAAGAAGGGAGGGAGTGAGGGACGCATCGGCCTGGGCTCGGCGAGGCCTCGCCGATGCATCGGCAAGAGGCCACCGATAGCGAAACAGCGACACCGAGCGCTCCTGTGCGGGGTGGGCCATCAGGCGCCCGTCGGCGAGGAACGGGGCCGGGGCCGATCCCTTCAGCCCCGATCCTTTCAGCCCCGAGCCATCGTGGGGCATTCCTGGTCGGGGTGGGCTATCAGGCGCCAGTCGGTGAGGATCGGTGCTGGGGGTGGATGCACACCGCCTCCCCCCCTCCCCCCTCCTCCTGCTCCCCCTCCTCCTCCTGCCCCTCCGCCTCCTCCTCCTCCTCCTCCTCCTCCTCCTCCTCCTCCTCCTCCTCCCCGGGGCCTTCTCCCCGCCTGCCGTTGCTCTTGAGGGGAGGGCAACAAGCCTCTGCTCTGCCGCGCGCGGGCCCCCCGCGTGCCCGGGGGGGGGCGCGGGGGGGAGCGCCCCGTGCACGGGACGGCAGACGGGAGGAGGGCGGGAGGCCCGAGAGAGGCCAGCCCGGGGCCCGGGCGGCCCGACGACAGGGATTTTTGGATTACGCTCTGATTCGCCGAGGGGACGGTCAGCTTGGTGCGGCACTCACTAGCTGCTGGCAGGAACACGCGGCATCTGGCAGCACGGGCGCCAAGGTCTGGTGAAACGCCCGCCCCCGTCACCGAACCCGTACCCATCCTCCTCCTTCACGGCCACTGCGGCGGCCCTGGAGCAGCGGCATGCACGACGAGAGGGAAGGGGGGAGGGGGAGGAGATGAGCAGGGGAGATGTCGGCTCCCATCACGGGCCTTCGTGGGGTTTTCGGCTGGACCCGAACTCTGGGGCCCAGCCCTGGGACATGCGATGGGTGGGGGCGTCCAGCCTCGATTAGGGGTGCGTCCGACTAGCCCCCTTGGGGCGTACCCCAAGGTGTCCCTCCTTTTCTGAGCGGCTTCGCTTTTCGTCGAAGAGTCGGGCTGTGGGGGAGAGGAATCGCCTATGGCGCCGTATAGCGCGTGAGGGGTGCGCCGAAATGGAAGGTGGAGCTGCGTGCGGGAGCTGCCTCTGGAGCCCTCGGTGGAGCTCGCTAAGTATGGGGCCACGGAACCTGTGAGGGTTGCGCCGAACTGGAAGGTGGAACCGCATGCGGGCGCTGCCACTTGGGCCATGTCGACGTCCTGAGGTTTTCTATACGAGGTCTCTGGAAGTCCGGACCCTTTCAGCGGGACCGGTTCTTCGTCCCGAGTCGTCTTCTGTCGGTGCCGAGGCCCGGCGAGGGCTCCCAGGGGCCGCGAATGGCCAAACAACCTCCCGCCCTGCTGTTTTCTTTGTCCGGCGCGAGCATGCCTGGGCGTGGGGCCACGAGGCGCGTGAGGGGTGCACCGAGAACGCGAGGAGGCGAGGAGGGGGCCCCTCTCTCCAGGGGCCGGCGGCGCGAGGGGGGCGCCTGTGTAGGAGAACCCCGCGCGGCGCGCACCCGCGGAGGGCGCCGAGGGGGCGCGGTGGAGGCAGAGTTTGCCCAGAGATCCGGGGCTAGGGAGGAGGAGGAGATGGAGGAGGAGGAGGAGGAGGAGGAGGAGGAGGAGGAGGAGGAGGAGGAGGAGGCGGAGGGGCAGGAGGAGGAGGGGGAGCAGGAGGAGGGGGGAGGGGGGGAGGCGGTGTGTCAAGCTAGGTGCGCTCGCGTCATATCTGACATCCTACCCCTCCCTCCCATCCCTTACCATGGCGTAGATCCTCTCTCTACTCGCACAGTTGGATGTCGAGCAGGGCAATGATCCCGAAAGGGTACGCGATGCATTGTAGAGCACGGCATGGGGAGAGGGGGTGCGGTGTAAAGGGGTGTGGTGCCAGTGCTGGATCTGGCGAGGCTACCTATCGTAGATCGCATCGCCACTTCCACGATGGGCACCACACCCCTTGATGTTACACCCCTTTCCGACCTCCAGACGAGTCTTTGGTGGGCCTCCCTCCCCAAGGGCCCACCAGCGGGGGCCCAGGGGCCAGCAGTCGGCGGCGAGCGAGGGGGGGGAGGGGGGAGTGAGGAGGAGAAGGCCCTCTCAGAGGGCGGGGGAACTTCTCGAAACCACCGCGCCTTCTGGGAGGTCTTTTCTGCGACTTCGGGGAAGGCTCACAGAACCTCTCAGAAGGCCGGGGGACTTCCGACCTGCTGAGAAGGCCTCCTCCTTCTCACTTCCCCCCCGGGCTCGCCGCCGACGGCAGATATGGATCCGGGGCGGAGAGGCATCTCAAGAGGCCCCCAAGAGTCCCCAAAACGGCCCCCCAGGAGGCCCCAGAACCGCCTCCGAGAGGCCCCCGAGAGGCCTCCCACGAGACTCCAACGAACATCCTCGAGGCTTATGACCCCAGGCCCCCGAGAGGTCTCCTGCGAGATTCCCAACGAGCATCCACGAGGCTTACAACCCACACAACCCAGGCACGGTGGCGGGACTTGCCGTAGGCAGCTGGACAAGGGAGAGAGGAGGCGAGGAGGGGAGAAAGAGAGACAAGAGGAGAGGAGGGAGAAAGGGAGGGAGCGACTGCGAGGAAGAGCAGGCACGGAGGCAGGGGGGGGACGACGTCGTCCTCGTGCGTCCTGCGTCGTGCGTGGGCGCCCGCGTCGTCCGACGCCGTCGCCCAGCGTCGTCAATCCGACGTCCTCGTCCGGAACCGCTCAGAGTGGGTCCCCGGAGCCTCCTAGGATGGGACGCAGAGACATACTAATGCTACATGTCCCCCTCGGAGGCGCGCGTCCGACCCGAACATACGGTATACCCATCTTGTAGTATATCGTTTCCCGAGTGGTGCGGCCAGAAAGCGCCCGCCACGACGCATATACTACAAGATTTCTCGGTGCGCGCGTCGCCCACGGGGGGGCGACGCAAACATAGTATAGGTATGTTGGGGTGTGGCCGACAGGAGTCCGTCCTGGCCCATGCGTTCAGGACCACTCTTCGAGGGCCCGAGGGCCCGAAAGGGAACTCCAGAGGCCGGAGTCGAAGGAAACCCGGCACCGTGAGGCTCTCCTGATGTGCCTCTACCCTCGAGGACGATCGAGAATAGTTTTTGATGGGCGTGCTTTCCACCACCACCACCATAAGTTGGAGGGGGGGGTCCTCCTCCTCCTCCTCATCCTCCTCCTCCTCCTCCTCCTCCTCCTTCTCCTCCTCCTCCCCCGTGCCCCCTCCAGCTTATGGTGGTGGTGGTGGTAAACAGGCTCAACAGTTTTCACCGGTTGGGGATTATTATTTCTTCAGGGCCTCCTGTAGGCTTCTCCTGGTCGCGCCTGGATTTCCCTCGAGTTTCGCGGCCGCGGCTGCATTCGCTTCGACATGACGGTCGTAGCGCAC